TTTCAAGCAATTGCATTTAAATGCCATGCTTTATAAATTTTTAGGTCTGTTTTGCTCAACCGCCACTCAGTTATTAGGCAACTGTTAATCTTTAAAAACCTTCATATGTATCAATAACATAACGAAAATGACTTGCAAGATAATTATATATTCGTCTTGTTCACAGTTAGGCAACTTCATTTTTTTATATATATTTGACCATTTAACTTGTTAAATGTGTTCACATGTTACCAATGTCACCTGCTATAACATGTGATAATGGTAATATATGAACACATTTAGCAAGTTAAATGGTCAAATATGTATAAAGAAAGTTGTCTAAATGTGTATAATTTTTATTTACAAATTTTTTAAGACTTGTTATAATTACTTACAATATTTTTATAATATTTCTTTCTTATAGGTTTTTCAAATACAACGCTTTAAACTTTGTTATAATTTTTTTTAAACTTTCTTTTTATACTTTAATATTGTAACATACACGTTTTGAAATCGTGTTTTGTAATGAATAAAATTGTGAAATACTATGTAAAATTGAGTGTTGAGTTCTAACAGATGGTTTTTACTAGAAATAAAGTAAAATTATGTTTAGAATCACTCAGAAAATATTGGAAGTCTTATGAAATTCCAATTAAAAGCCAAATAGTGAAATTTAGCGAAAATATAAAATTTTAAATAAGTAAAATTTTATTATTTAATGTTGTAGAGAATCTCGTTAGAAACTTGTAGGCGAAAACCTCGTCGAAATCCGAGTTATAACGAAGAAGTTATGACCAAACGAAGATCCACGACAAAACCGGCACGGCACCGAATGACGTAAAAAGTGAGTTTTTGATAAACTACTTTTTAGCCTTATTAATCTAAATGAAAATCGTAGTATTTGTTAAACCGAGAAGTTTGATAAAAAGAACGCCAAAATCTGACTTCGTATGAGGAAGTTATGATTTTTTGAAGTTTCAACTTAGCAGTAGACAGCTAAAAACTCGAATTTTAGATCGAGCGATATTTGACCGATACATCCTAAACGAGAATCGAAGGTCTCGTCATATGTAGTACAACGGTAAAAAGTCTGACAAAAACGGATGTCGGATGAAAAAGTTATGAATTTTAGAAGATTTGGGTGCATTTCTCGAGAAATTCGCATGGTTAAGAAGAAGCCACGTCACCTCGCACGAAGCAGGTACGTCACCGAGTTCGTGGCCCAATCCGAGAAGCAACGTGTGTCATCTTCTGATTTGCCCGAGGCCGAGGTCCAGTAAGATCTGGACACACCTCACATCGGTGGCTAATCCGATGTGAGCCACGTCTCGCATACCCACCTCCGACGAACCCTCGCTGCTGATGCCACCGAGCTGCTTCGCAAGCAGCTTCGTCACCCTTCGGTCTGAGCTTCGCACAGGCGACGTGGTCCCTTCTCAGCCACAAGTTCCGAACCCTCGGCCCTATATAAAGGGAGGCTGCGAGACCTTCCGACTAGAATCCCAAATTTGACAATTTTAACCCTCTTTCCATATTTTCTTCATTTTGACTTTTCCCAAAGCCCCGGTATCAATTTTAGCACCCAAAACACATCCCGAGATCCCCGAGAAGCCCGTGAATTTTATCTTTTCGGTTTTGAAGCCCTACCTTCGCAGAGCCCGGTTTTCAATTAAGCTCCTGGTTTTCAACATAGAAAGACATATTTAAAGCCGAAGTGCTATCCAAATTACTATTTTAACCCCCGGTTAACTTAAGGTGAGCTCAATATATAGGAACAATTGTATGTTATGTTTTATATGTGCTATGTGCTTTTCAGTGTTATTATTCTGAGTTATTTTCTCGTGTTATTCGCTATGTTTATAGCAATTGTAATACCTTTGACCATGTAATCAGTGAAAGGACTTAGATTCACATTGGTACTGGGACGTAGCCTCTGGCCATGTAGAGCATGTCTCCGTAATAGAATGACTTCTATTCTATGGCATTGGCAAATGGTTACACAAGACTATAAGCCTGAAATCTAACAAGATGTTAATTAGAAATTGCATGTCTTCTATACCATTTGGGCCAAAGATTTATTGATGTATATCAAGAATTGAAAAGTATATCTTTGAATAAAGTCTTTGATTGATATGAACGCTTGTCACATGATCTCACATACATCTTGTTGTTCCTCTTTGCTTTTGCCACATTGAAGTATATATGGCATAACGTTATATTGTATCTATTATTGAACTCACTAAGCGTCACCACTTACCCTATCAATGTTTAACAATTGCAGGTAAAAGTAACTAGTATGTTTACATACTATTGAAAGATTTAGAATAGTTTGTAATAGTACTTTTGTACTACAGTTTATGTTTGTATAAATTACAATATCCTGGGTAGTTATGTAATATACATAACACTATGTAATAGAAGGTTTGTATCCAATAAGTTGTAATTCCCTTTATCAATGTAAAATATTGTTTTTATGAATATGCAAATAAAATGTTTTAGAGTAATGATATTGTGAAGTATGAAAGTTTGGATCTTTCAAAAATGCGAAAGTTGGGGTCTTTCAAATATATTTTAATACAAATGCTTTTAAACCAAATTTTTTATAAATGTTTTAATTTTTTCTTACAAGTTTTGAATTTTTTTTTTACATTTTCATACAACTTTTTTATAAAGTTCATATAGTATTTCTAAACTTTCTTTTACAAAATTTTAAAGTGTTTCATAGATTTTTTAAGACAATATAATATTTTTTATAACATTTTAAAATACTTTCGTTAAATACTAGTTTAAAACATTATATTAAAAAAAAATTAAAAGTTTATAAACTTCTAATTAAAAAGTATTAAAAAGTTGTAATAATTTTAAAATATTTACATTATATAGATTTTTTTGTTTTTTTATTTGCTAAGTAATATTTTATTTTTATTTTTTTTTAAGATCCTTCATACCTATTATTACATATTTAATTCTGTTGTTAGATATTAATTACTTTAAAAATATTGTATATGATTAAAAATAAAAGAAAAAATTATAAGAGGTTATATAAAATATTTTACAAAACAAAAAACATATTTATTAATTTCAAATTAAAATTTAGAATTGATATTTAATTAAAATTTAGAAAATTATGGATATTTTAAAAATAACGTTTGAAAAAAAATAATATAAACAAATATGAAAAATAAATCTCTATTAAAAATTGAGAAATTGACTTATCAAAGTAATTAATTTTTCGTTTTGTTCGTATTTAAGTAATTTTTTTATACACATTTAACTATTTAACTTGTTAATTCGTTGATATATTACCGTGAAAAAACATCATAAATGGTCCATATGGTTTCCCAAAACCTGAAGTTTAGTCCCTGTGGTTTAAAAACATCATAGATGGTCCCTGTGCTTTCAAAACTTTTGACGATTGGTCCTTATTGCTAACCCCGTTAAGTTTGTCCGTTAACTAAAGGGCATTTTCGTCTTTTCACGATCACAAGGACCATTTATGAAGTAGATACACCATTCCTTCGGCAGATTGTGGAGACACGTAAACCAAGAAATTGAGGTTTGAGACCCTTCAAATCGATGGAAGACCCATCTGACTCAGTTTCAACCTCCATAAATCGAACAATGGTGCAAATGTTCTTACCGTCAATGATGGGTCTTCCATGTCACCGAACAAATACAACCATCGAACCTAGTTAAATATCCATGTGAAAACCACACACATAACTTCTCATTCTTCTTATTATCTGTTTCTGATTCTCCCTTCTTTAACCGAAAACTGATTTGTAGGTTTGATTTTTCCCTAATCCATTAACGCCGATCTGCAGTCTGTTGCCGATCTTTGCTCGGCTGCTATCGATCCTCGGTGCCACTTCTCCCTTCCTCTACATTTACTTGGACCTACTCAGATTTTTTTGTCTGAAATGCTATCATCCGTCTGCTACCACTGATCCTCGCCATCGTTAACTTTGTTTAGAAGGTAGAAAGAGACGAGAGAGGGACATAGGGGTGGATGAGATGAGAGGTTGCGATTTGGCTGTTGTCCGAAATCTAGACGTGCAGGGGTGGCGGAGACGAGAGGCCCCAGTTGAGTGGTTCCGGCCAAGGATATCACCGGTGATGGTGGGCTGAGAATGTGATTAGAGTATAGAGGTGGCAGTGGTACTTTTAGGGTTCATAAAAGAGAAAGAAATGATGTTGCGGTGGTAACGATGGGGCATTGGAGAGAGAGAGAAAGAGAGAGAGAGAGAGAGACCTTTAACATTAAATAATAATAATAATTATTATTATTATTATTATTATTATTATATTAAGTAAGAGAAAAACTTCATAAATGGTCCCTGTGATCGTGAAAAGACGAAAATGCCCTTTAGTTAACAAAAAAACTTAACGGAGTTAGCAATAAAGACCAATCGTCAAAAGTTTTGAAAGCACAGGGACTATCTATGACGTTTTTAAACCACATGGATTAAACTTCAAATTTTGAAAAACCACAGAAACTATTTATGATGTTTTTTCTATTACCGTTGTCATCTGCTATATCAGATATGACAATGATAATATTTAAATAAGTACAAATATTGTTAAATGAAATCATCTATTGCTGATTAGTCCGGAATATATATCACTGTTGTCCGATACGTGATGTTATTTCAAAATTGAATTCAAACATGAAAATATATAGTCTAAGTTAGTAGTTTCCCAAACTTGAAGGGGTCTAAGTATAACAATAGCCAAATCTTCACCTTTGCCCAAGAGATACGGCGGCGCATAAAATCATGAACAAAAGTTATTTTTCCTATAATAATCATTTCACGTATAAATAGTTGAATACACATTATTACATTACACACTGTACATGCTTATGCTTTTTAGAACTATAGTGGCAATTTGGTAATTCTTCTGCGACGGTTTGTCTTTCTACTTTATATAACTTGGGTTCATACGTGCTGCAGGCATGCATGTACCTTTCCGCCTCCAGCTTTCTCTATCTATCACAGTCTCACTTATTATAGCTAATAACAATGGCGGAAATTGCAGGCATCCATAAACAGCAAATGAAGAGGAAACCAAGCAATGAAGTCGTGAAAGAGAAGTGGGCGAAGCATTACTCGTCGAATCACCAGATATTGTTGGTTGGTGAAGGAGATTTCTCGTTTTCTGTGAGTCTGGCTATGGCTTTTGGCTCTGCTTCCAATATTGTAGCTTCTTCCATCGACTCTTATGGTAAATCCTCCTCTCTACATTAAATCACCATTTCTGAACGTTTATCATGTCTAAGGTTTCCATGATCAAGTGTTTTTCTGGTAGAATTGACACGAAAAAAGAGTTAAATTGTTCAGAATATTTTGAGTTGTTTCTTAATAATACTTGAGTAATATCATTATCTGGTCTTGTGATTTGGGATAATTTCATTTTACTAGATTATCTTATCAAGAATTACAAGAATGCAAAAGCAAACTTGGATATCTTGCGTGAGTTTGGAGCCCAACTGTTGCATGTAGTTAATGCAGTCAAAATGAAGAATCATACTGACCTTCGAAAGCAGAAGTTTGATCGCATTGTATATAATTTCCCACATTCTGGTGATCGAGGGAAAGAAAGTGATGAAGATATCATTGTGTAAGATTCTTTTCTTGTTTAATTAACCATTTAAAAGAAACATCTAACTTATTTATATATCCTTTGTACTCCTTTCTTTTGTTTTCATGATTTCCCATTTGGTGTTGGTTCAAAGTTTCTTGTGGAATGCGAGGGCGATGTTGCGTCCAAAAGGTGAAATACATGTAACCCACAAGACCACACACCCATACAGTTCTTGGAATATTGAAGAATTGGCAAATGAATGTGGTTTAACATTGGTTGAATGTGTCAAAGTTCAAGATTGAAGATTATCCTGGTTACAACAACAAAAGAGGAGATAGGAGGAATCCTGACCCCTATCCTTTCCTCTAGGGAAATGCAGTACTTTCAAATTCATGGTTTCTTCAAATGCCAAGAAATCACCTCCAGAATTTCCATTTCAAAAACGACTGAAAAAAACACTTGAAGAAATGAATCCTATTGCGGAGTATTTGATTGATGCCGATGGGTTAACTTATTTGACTGAATGTTTAATTCCTGATCTGTTTTATTTGGAGACATCTTCATCGGATGTGGGTACGAGTCAGCGTCGTCATATTTAGTGGGGGATCTTGTAAAACTGGTTTTTGTCTTTTTGCTGAAACTTTTGTGGTTTTCTTAATCAGGCCAGGTGTGGCTGTGTCCCTTTTTTTTAATTGTTGAATGTTACCAACTGTTGCTTATGATATGAATGGAAATTGTTTTCTTATTTTTATTTTTATAATGATACATATTTTTAGAAAGACTAGATGTTTTAAATGGTCCTTGTGATTTCTTAGATTTGCATGTTTCATTCCATGCTTTTTTTTTCATTACTAGAATGTTTATGTATTGTATGGTTGGTCCCTCACCCATCAAAAATTACATTCATATCCTTTTAATTTTATTTATCTTTTTTCCTTTATCTAGTTCTGAAACGATGACTTCTAAATAAAACAAACGTGATGTGGATCGACATAGATCAATATTATTGAGGTTAGTGAAGTGTGCAACCATCTTTATGCCTTCACAAGCACAAAGTTATTACTCTCTGCTCCGGAGATAAAGCCAATATTTCTTGCATACAAGACCATAAACTTATTTGTCTTTGTCGGTTTCAAGTATACCCAAAAATGATTGAAGCTCGTGACACGTTAATAACTCGTTAATGCATGTCTTGTCTCCTTTTGTTACTTCTCCGGTTATGCCTTTTTCGATGAGCTCACCCATTTGGTATGATCGATCGATGAATCGTGTGATTTTCAACTGGTCCAAAAGAAGTATGATTTATCGATGAATCATTTGCTAAA